AATATCTGCCAAAGCCGTAAACCACTTTGATTTTTTTTTTTTTTTTTATTGCGCCTCTCCACCAACGTTAGGGTATTCCGAGTGGGGGCTCTGCGGACGAGTGGGCGTGTCCCAACAAAAGGCGATTCTAAAGCAACACACCTGATTTGACGAATTTTTTAAACGGACACACCTGACTGGACTAGCAAAGAAAGAGGCGTCACCGTACGGCACCACCTGATTGGACAAGAAGAAAAGGGGCGTTACTGTACGGCATCACTTTTTCTGGACACCCTTACTTGGGTCACATTTCTCCTGTTAACCTTAATGTTGGGGTCAGGATCAGGCTATATAGAGGTCAAGCAGGGTCTAAGGATACCGTCATGTAGGCCTCGTAGCCCACAGTGTTTATCCTTCACACAGGCCCACTCTTGTGACACGCCCACTTTGATTCCGCAGATATCCCCTTCTCGGGTATTGGGTCAGGCACATTGCATTGTGGGATACGGAGTAAGATGGAAGCGCTGTTAGAGCGCATGTAGAAGTGTCAATAAGTCTATTTTTTTAATAGTTACATGATCATAATTACATATTTGTTACAGTGTTAACGAATATAATTACTTAAAGTTTSTGTTGGCTGCGGGAACAGGTAAGGCTTAATAATACTGACTTTGCTGTAGCGTGCTAGCTAAAGCTAAGGGTCATTGTGTGGATCACAGAGGAAGCTAACTGAGGCTAACTAACTCTGGTTCACTCTGAGGACGTCACTGTATCCTGTCAGTTTTTAAATTGAATTAATTACTTACATCGTAGGCGTTCGGACATGTCTGTCCTGGGAGGTTTGCTGAGAACTGGAGCGTCTCTGTGTCATTCTGCTGGGACTCTGCTGGCCTCAGCCAGAACCTTTTCCACAGGTAAGAACAGACTGGGTCGAGCAGAACTGTTTTGCTTGAACCAGTTTATCCCCCTTTGGTATAAAAATCCGGCCTCCAGGCCTTATGTCAGTCTGACCAACACAAACATCTACTGTTTTTAAACTGAATGTCCTAGTTTGTAAAATAACTGGTATATTACTTACGTGTATTTATGTTATATTTATTTGTTACGCATTTAAGCATGTTTTTCTTATTTAATAATTTAGCTATTATTTTCACTTGCAGAAATGCAATCTCTAATTTCTGAGTATTATTTAACTATATTTTGCAATATGTTTTCAC